CGCCTCCCCTCCACCCCGCCCGCCCTGTGCTGTGGGGGCCTGGGAAGACCCCTCCGCACCGGGCGTCTCGGAAGCGCCCGGCCGGGGCCCCCTGCCCGCGTTGCCCACGGATCCCGGTTTAAGGGGACCAGAAATCCGAAAACAGACAGGCGTGGGGCGAGTGCACGGACCCCGGGCCCTTGGCTTCCAAATAGGCGTGTACTTGTGCGATCTCGATGGCGACTGGCACTGAGCCCGAGAGCGCTGCCCACTTAGGCTCCTGGCGTCCTCCCCTCCACTGCGGGCTGCCCTCTGGGTGAATGAATTCAGACAAAGACAGCAAATTCTCAGCTCTCTGTCAGATACCTCCGAGGTGACAAAAACTGCCCGCCCTCCTCTCCTGTCAGGGTGTCATTTACCAGCCAGGGCGCCCCACCGGTCGCCTTTGCACCTGTCTTATTTCGGTTTGCACAGTCTTTGTCTGTTTGGCCCAGTTCTTAGCCTGGTGGCTACACGTTCAGCCGCGCTGTGGTTTATTCTCAGCAAAAGCTCTGCTCTCCGCGAAAGGGACAGTAGTTCTTCCCGTTCCGCTCTCGGAAGTGGACTTGGTTCACAGTGCGGGTCAGCGCACATTTCCATTGATGTCGCTGATCCTGTTTTCATGAATGTTTCAAAGTGTTTTGCTTTTCATTGGCTTCTTGCCCTTTCCTTCTGGGAAGTTGGCTCATTTTTAGCATTAAAATGAGATTTTCTATGTGTGTAAAACCATAACACCCGAGTGGGAATTAAAATCTTATCTCAGGTCTTGAATATTTTGTTGGGGTTATGCTTCAGTATAGGATTGTACTGTTCTGCTAGCAAATCAAAAATACCCTTCCTTGTTAGTCTACTGCAGTGGTTCTCAACCTTCTGGCCCTTTAAATACAGTTCCTCATGTTGTGACCCCCAACCATAAAATTATTTTCGTTGCTACTTCATAACTGTAATGTTGCTACTGTTATGAATCGTCATGTAAATATCTGATATGCAGGATGGTCTCAGGCGAACCCTGTGAAAGGGTCGTTCGACCGCCAAAGGGGTGGCGACCCACAGGTTGAGATCTGCTGACCTAGATGCAACGGAGTTACATTCATTCACTGCAGACGGTGGACGCCTGAGGGCTTAATTCTCTCAAGGAACCCTGATTGAGAAACAAGTCCAAGTGGGGGAAAATGGAGAGGTGGACTTTCCTATTGTGCTTGCTTGCACACTGGATAGTTTACTTTAAAAAATAACCTTTAAAATTTAGAGTGGAAATTTCGAACATTCAAAAATATTCAGAGGTGAATGTCTTTAGTTTTCTTGAAAAACAGTTTTACGTTCTTTTTTATTTTGTTTTATCCTCACTCGAGGATATGTTTATTGTCTTTAGAGAGGGGGGAGGAGAGAGAAACAGATCAATGGCCTCTGAGTCCGATCCCTGACTAGGTGTCGAACCTGCAACTTAGTAGGAGCCCTGACCCAGAATGGAACCTGCAGCCTTTGGTGTTGGGGACGTCGCGCCAACCAACTGAGCCACCCGTCCAGGAGGACAGTTCTACTTTTGAACATCTCCATGACTTGCTTGGTCTTCTGCTAACTTCAATGACTATAACTAAAGCTTTTTAGCCCTTGCCCACTGCTCCAGCCAAACCTGCCTTGGGCTTTCAAGGGATTCCGTGCCCCCAGTTCTTAGCATAGTCACCTTTGCCCCAGATCTTCAGTCAGATAGCACTGTCTCACCTGCTGGACCAGATGGGCCCGGCCTGCGCTGTGCTGCTCTGTGCCCTCAGAGTTTAAATCACAGTTCATCTTTCTAGCTTTCCTTTTTTTAAAATTGCACGTGCTTTTATTTTTCTTCTTCTTTAGATATGTTCTTAAAGGTGTAATGGCTGATGGAAATGCAAGAACAGTCCTCTGGGCGAGGCTTCTGTTAGTGACGCCTTCTGTCTAATGGGATGCACTTCTGAGCCTCATTTTTAAAAAATATGTTTTTATTGATTTCAGAGAGAGGAAGGGAGAGGGAGAGAGAGGTAGAAACATCAATGATGAGAGAGAACCATCGATCAGCTGCCTTCTGCACACCCACCACTGGGGATCGAGCTGCAACTCAGGCATGTGCCCTGACTGGGAATTGAACCATGACCTATTAGTTCATGGGTCAGTGCTCATCCACTGAGCCACACTGGCCAGGCTCTGAACCTCATCTTTAAAAGTCCCTCCAAGCCCTAGCTGGTTTGGCTCAGTGGATAGAGCGTCGGCCTGTGGACCAACGGGTCCCAGGTTCGAATCCAGTCAAGGGCATGTACCTCCGTTGCAGGCTCCTCCCCAGCCCAGACCCTGGTCAGGGTGCGTGCAGGAGGAACCAGTCAATGTGCTTCTCTCACATGGATGTTTCTCTGTCTTTCCCTCTCTCTTCCACTCTAAAAATCAACGAAAAAATATCCTCAGGTGAGGATTAACAACAACAACAACAAAAAAAACACACGTTCCTCCAAGTTGTCATTTGGAGAGCTCCTACACGCTCTAAACCAGCGGTCGCCAACCTTTCAGACCTCACGGACCACTGGTTGGTGACCGCTGCTCTAAACCAAGCATGTCAAACTCGCAGCCGGCGGGCTGCATGCCTCGTTTTCTCTGAACAGTAAAGAATAGTAGCAGTAAGCCTAGATTGAGAATCAATTAGTTGCTAACAAATTTCTGGAGATGTTAAAGCTGTCCTGAGTCCTAGAGGGGAGTTTGCAGCTGTTTATCTAGCCCTAGTTCAACAAGAAACGCAGGTGAAGGTGGTCTGTAGGAGGGCACCAGATGATCTTACTTATATCCCATCTGGAATTAGCCAGCGTCGGGGGGAGATGTCCCAGATGTTGAGTTAAGTGGCAGTTGTGGTTTGAAGAGACATTAAATCCCTTTTTTTGTGTTTTCTTTCTCTCTATCCAGTCCATTGATGACTTGAACAAATGGGCCCTCTATCTTGTTTCTCCTCTCATACTTGAAGCCGAACACATAGCATTTGTGACAGAGAGCGTTTGGGTGCAGGGGGAGAATCTGCAGAGGCCGTCTTCCCCTACAGAAACCGTGAGTAACGCATTTTTCATTTGTTTATTGTAAGGAAACTGTGTGTCTTAATTAAAACTGAATTCGTTGTCTTACGAGAGCTTTTTCCTGGCCTTTGTGACTCCCTTTCTTTCAGGATGTTTTGGGTTAAATGAAAATATATCAGTGAAATTACTTTCCCCAGTTTAAGTTTTTTATTTTGTTGATCTTCACTGAAGGATATTTTCCCACTGATTTTTAGAGAGAGTGGGAGGGAGCGGGAGAGACAGTGGATGAGAGAGACACATCAGTTGGTTGCTTCCTGCACAGGCTCTGACCAGGGCCAGGGATTGATGCTGCTCCTTGTGGGATTCGAACCAGGGACCCTCAGTCCACAGACCGACCCATGCTCTATCCATTGAACAAAACATTTATTTTGTTTTAGTTTTTATTACTTTTTAAAACGTGGCTGCTAGAACAGGTGAAACTGCCTGTGTGGCTGTGTTTGTGGCCCACACCATGTCATTGGGCAGCACGGCTCAGTGTCCCCAGGCCATTTAGTCCATCCTTATGTCAAACCTTCGAGGCTGGGAGTGGTCCTGACAGAACGGGCTCATTGAGCCATGTGCTGGCAGAGAAGGACCAGGTCCTGGGACGTGCAAGCTCGACCACCAGCGTCCGGGCTGGAGGGAGAAGGCGGACATGTCTGCTGATTTCCAGCCGACGGGCTCTTTCATCTCATGGGTTTGGGGCAAAAGATGTAAGTTGTTTTGAAAGAGTTTACCTTGGCCACCAATAAGGGGAGGGGGCAGCAGGGGGAAGCAGCAGCTCCCCGAGAGGCATTTCCCAGTCCTGGTTGGTTGTGGGCAAGAGTCTGGAAAGTTCACGCATGAGCAGGGCGTGGTGGCGCCTGGCAGCTGGCATTATTTATTTGTTTTTGATAGCTGCCTTGAAGTTGATTCAAAGATTTAAAAATTTTTTTTAATTGAATTTGTTGGGGTGACATTATATAGGTTAATGAAATTATGTAGGTTTCAGGCGTACAGTTCTATAAGACATCACGTGGATATTGTATTGTGTGTTCACCACCCAAAGTCAAGTCTCCTGTCACCATTAACCCCCTTTGCCCTCTCCACCTCCCCCACCCCCTTTCCTTCTGGTGAGCACCACCCTGTTGTCTGTGTCCAGGAGGTGGTTGTTTCTCACCCAGCCCCCCAACTCCCCTCCCCTCCGACAGCTGTCAGTCTATTCTCGGTATCTGTGCTAAGAATATGTGTTTATTGATTTTTTTAGAGAGAGAGGAAAGGGTGGGGAGAGCGAGAGTTAGAGCAGGAAAGAGAGAGAGAGAGAAAGAGAAAGAGAGATATTGATGTAAGAGAGAAACATTTATTGATTGCCTCCCATAGGCGCCCTGACCGGGGGTTGAACCTGCAGCAATACTCTCCAGGTCTATCCATGTTGTCGCAAAGAGTAAGTTTTCCTTCTTTTGATGGCCCAGTAGTATTCTCCTGTATGCCCCACACTGGGAATTGAGCCCGCAACCCCGGCATGTGCCATGTCCGGGAATCAAACTGTGACCTGGTTCACAGGTCGATGCTCAACCACTGAGCCTGCTGGCCGGGCTATCACAGCTCTTTTATCCACTCGTCTACTGACGGGCACTCTGGCTGCTTCCACCCCTGCCACTGCCACAGCAGTCAGCCTCATCCAGTGCCAGCCCTCAGGATGGGGGACGTGGGCAACAGCCAGCGCCCTCTTTAACATTGAATCCAGAAGTTTCCGAAGTCACTTCTCGTATCACTTTAGCTGCAGGGAGCCTGAGAAATACATTCGGTAGCTGGACAGCTGTGGGTTCAGAGGAAACCGGAGTTGTGTGACTACAAGGGAGAAAGACAGACTAGACATTGGGAGATAACAGCGCTCTGCCACAGGTGCCCCGTTTAATTTACCTCCTAACGAAAATCTCATTAAGATCTCACTTAATGGCGGTTTTGCTTAATTTTTTTTTAACCATCACCTTAGGACATGTTTATTGATTTTTTTAGAGAGAGAGGAAAGGGTGGGGAGAGCGAGAGTTAGAGCAGGAAAGAGAGAGAGAGAGAAAGAGAAAGAGAGATATTGATGTAAGAGAGAAACATTTATTGATTGCCTCCCATAGGCGCCCTGACCGGGGACTA